CCCAGGCTGACAATGCTTGTACACTGCATGCAAAGAGTCTCGGAAAACCACAACACAGTCCTGGCCAATAACTGGATATGAGCCCGAGTGAGCATTTTTTGGTTACACTTGATTGATCCTTGAGAAAACATCCCATTAAACCAAATTCTCCAGATAGTGTGCCAGGGATCTTTTTGGCTAAAATGACACAGACAGGAACTTCTCATCTCCTCCACAAAAGTTATTCACAACTTGTCAGGCAAAGTGCTGCAAAATATAAAGCAATAAACAAGCTTGTATGCAATACTGCGAGATTCCATAATACAGAAAACGTATTTCTCAGCTGGGTGTCAATTTTCTTAGTCTGTACTTTAGTATTGCAGTTATTACATAAAAAGCTTAATATATATATATTTCAAACAAGCTAAGTATAATTTCAGAGGACAAATACTTTACTGCCATACAGTTTTTGTTACACACTTCTTAACTCTATAGCCTAACAAGCCAGCAGAGGATACCTCAAAGCAGAAAAGACAACTTCAGATCAGTCTGCAGCACTGCAGTGCATGTGAAAGTGGGTCTTATGGATAACATTTTCCAGGTTGCAGCAAAATAAAATGACTCCTCCCTCACAGATGTTTAATATGTGCAGATTTTTTTTTTTACAAAATGTTCAGGCCAGCAAAAGTGATAAAGGATTTCATCATCTTCCCTTCATTCAAGTTAACAGGTCAGATGTAATACTACAACAGTGCACATAATACTGCGTGCCAATGTGTGCAGATTCCACTGCATTGATAAATATGATAACTGTTTCTGTTAGGGCTCCATTCTAGCAATTCCATGTAAGTGTTACATGACATGTTTTCACCTGCCTAATTGCCCAAAGCAGAGCTCTTATTTCAGACCTACTTAAAAATCAAAACGTGACTATTAAAACTCCCCCAGGACACAGTTTTTTTATTAATACCATGGTAATTACCTTTTTTCAATGTTTATAATATATGTATGGTGTGATCCCTATGTTCAGAACCTCTTTCAGTTAAATAAATAAAAGTGTCCTCTCAATGTGTAAAAATGTAAGCTTTAAAAACTAAAAGCTCTTAAGCTGCCAGCAAATGAAGTTAGTTGTCTGTATCCTCTTGAACTGCAGCACCACAAATATTTAAGGCATGAAGTCAGTTTCATAAGGTGCAGTACGCAAATATCTAATATTTTCCTAAATTTATAAGCAGAGACTACCATTGCATGAATCATAATATCAATATGCATTCCTTCACCTAAGTTAGATCAATATCTGGTCCTAGGGATTCAATTTCATGTCCAATGAACCATTATCCTCAAATTGTCCATAACTCAGATTTCACTGTACATACTGGTGACATTTTTGACCTTCTTTTCAACTACATAGCTTTTAAACTAGTACAACTATTTGTTTTTTACAAGTGTCCCTAATCTTCATTACCTATTGAATAAAAAATACCTTGTTGAAGGCCAATTACTGAATTGAAATTTAGCTGCGCAATCACTTTAAAGTTAATTTTTTTTTTCACTAACAGAAACGAGCTTTTACTTTTCTATCCTAAGAAAAAAATAAAACTTTAAAAGGTCCTGCTGCAGGACAAAATGCTTCTGATAAATTCATCAAAACATAAGCCTGCTTATTCTAATGAAGAGCTTAACATACACTGAAACCAAAAAATGAGTCTTAGGCAGCCAGAACCATTTGATGTTGAACTATAAACAGTAAACAAAGTCCATTTGCCAAAGAAGCTAAAGCCTTCTGTTCTGATAAATGTACCAGAAAGGAACCCTGTGCAAGAACAGTACAGTTGAACACTAGGTGTTCTTCAAAGGCACCAAAGCTATAGACTAGGCAATATCACTCATATTTTCCAAGTATAGCTTTCTACAGGTCCTCCAATACTGTATATGACTCCTCTTTTTAGAATGGTTTTCTACATTCTTAAGTGTTTCCTAGGAAAAAGTCTCGGAACTGATATGGCCTGAGGAAACATATGAGGAATCATATCCGTATTGGACACTTGAGTATGTACTCTTTCCTGTGATTTTATTATTCCAGTTTTAGCTAGAATGGTTATTTAGCAACGTGAACACCAACATTAGCAAAAGCCACATCAGTCAACCAGCAGAACACATGCAGTATGAAAGAACAATTACATGGATTTAGGGAAGCAAAACTACAGTTACACTAAAGCAGTTATAATTTCTATTCACACCCCCAGTCTATGAAATGTTTTGCTGGATAAGATTGCACCTAGGAAACAGAAACTTACTTTCCTGGAGCAGAAATATTGTAGGAATATAATCTTCTAGTGCTGAGGTGAATACAATTGGTCTGTCAGTCTTCAATTTGATCATTGGCAGACACCCAAAACCAGCTGCCAATGGTATAAAAGATCACTGGGTTAGGGCAGACACCTCATGACAGAACGTGTGGCAGTATTAAGGTTACCACCTGCCCACACAATCCTTGGAGACATTAAAACAGGACCCATTTTCAAACCTAGCCTTTGGACCCAGAAACAAAAAAGTAAAACACCTTGAAAAGGCTTTTCATTTTTAAGACTATTCTGTTATGCACTTTCCTCTCTTATTTGCCAGCAATCAGAACCATTGATTACCCACTAAGACAATAAGGGACTGTATGCGAGTTGGAAGAGTGTATGAACTCAAATAAAAGCATCTTTCAAATACTGAAAATTACACATTCAAGACATACAGTATATATAAAAGCATTTCTTCTCTGACTCGTTCATCAACTGCTCAAACAATACATACTGATAATCAATTAATGAAATCCGTCCTATCTTAATGGCACTCACAATGGAGCCATGTGTCAGCCCAATCCTTCAGGGTCTTACGAAAAAATTTATAAGAGCACAGAAACAAATTATGATTTGTTCCTGGTGCATGATTCAGTTATTCTGGGCTTCAGGCATAACAAAGGTTCAGGACAACTGTGTGCCATAGCCTAGCTGATAGATGCCCACTGCAGCACTGACTTCCGAGCTGCAATATCCCTTAATGCCTCACAGAGCCAACCTCCAGCAAACCTGCAGAATCTTGCTTCCATATATTTTAACCATGCTTGTACAAATTACCAAGAGCAGAGAATCATTTATATACAATATTCAGCATTTACAGCATGTACAGCCAGGTATCCAGGTGGAGATCTGTTCACTTCTGACCTACTGACTCATGGGCACAACGGAAATGGAATGTGTAAAGAGCTGAACACGAAAGAAAAGAAATTAAATATGTTATTCTTACCAGTACCTGTTGCTCATATTTTTCTAAAACTTAAGAATAACGCTGTACTGTAGTAAAATTATACTCAAGAAATTTGCTGAACACGTTATGCAGTTTCTTTTTTAATCTCCATTATACAAAGTGCTTTGTTTCTTGTTATTTCTACAACCAGGCACAATGTCATGTTGCAACAGTACTTAGCATGCAAGCCATCATAGCATTTTGGCACTCAGGTTTATTTCATTTGATCCTGTAACAATGAGGAGCTGTCACAATCCGGCAATAGGAAGAAACGTGTTGGAATGTTTTTAAGAAGCCCTGGCCCGCCCAAACACAGTCACAGTGTAACCCAGACAGTCAGAGTTTATAATAGCTTAGTCACAATTAGCATGGTATCTTTGCAAGAACAAGCAGCATGAAAGATTCAAGGTTGAATATAGTTAACAGAATGAGCATAAAATTGCATGGTGGATGCCAATCACAGAAAGGTGAACTACAGTTACATGACAGAGCATGTTCAAAATAAAATACCAACATATTCCTATTAAAATAAACAGGTACATTTTATGTTCATTAGATTTAGATTTGACTACGGTCGTTTATGCCTTGCATCATTAAACGAGCCCATTCCCTCATTTTCATAACGAAGATTTTAAGAATTCCGAGGTGCGAATGCCAAATGATAACGTTTGATAAAATAAAAAATTCGCGATTGAAAAATGTAATTGCTAACTGTTTTTAATTTTACCAGTAGCACCATCGATGGCAGTTGTGTACAGGACTTCCGAAGTACGATCATCTCAGCCGCAGTGCTGGTTTTTAAAAATCATTCTATTTATAATAATAAAATCTCAGCTGTGTATACTTGTGTTTAGTGTGTAGTGGGTAAGGCTGAGAATAGCCTAAAAGGAAGCATGTATAAAACTGGAACGATACGCTATCAAGAGCTTGTATGACAAGGAGCAACACAGATTTCAATTTCATGCTTTTCATAGTTAACAGGCATGTAACATATTCTAAGCGTCCGCAAGGAATTATAAATAGAAAATCCAACATTCGTGTATTACTGTACCTACATTACACTGTAAACAGCCACCACCGATGCTGACCAAAATCCCAGATAACATTGCCAGTTTGGGAAAAATGTCCAAATTGACTGGATTAATGTTTCAAATGTATACATTTGAGAAGTATCATCCGCTAGACATTTTCCAGAATACAAGTTCAGAGGGATACAGTATATGCTTTGTAGCGAATGACAATTACAGACGGCACGGTGTTTTAATGGTGTGTATTGGCGTACTTTTATAAAGCTGTTCTGGCACACGTCTAAAAAGATGAGTTGCAGAAATAAATGCACTCAACTTTTGAAAAATATTATTGCAATTAGAAAGCTGATGTTTTACTATTACCTATTTAGACAAAATTATTATTACAGTAACATTTAAAATATATATGGACAACCGCACGGAATTATTCTGCGGATATATAATATTTTTATAACAGATGCGGGCGATAATATTTCATAGCATCAATGAAACCCTCGTAATTAAGATTAAACTTTCTCATTTTAACATGTCGTTTATTCAAGACATTATAAAGGGATCGGTACATTTTAAATGGAGATTTACAGTATTTTCAAATGTAACGTACTGTATATCTTAGTTCTCAATGTACTTGATGTGTTCAACGATACCGGTTGAATATTTAGATGAAAATAAACGAAATAATACGATAAAGTTACTTACCTGCTATGAAGATGAAAACAAGGTGAGACCCGTGCATGACTGCGGTTTTAATCTGTTAGTGTGAAGAAGTCCTGGGAATTACTTTAAGTTTATTATACGAAGCTGTTCTCAGGGCACCTTGCTGCAAATCTGCCCATGGCGTGCACCTTAACTTCAGGGTATGGACGTCTCGTCTAATGCAATGCAGACTTGAGAGACGAGACACAATTTGAACTTTTGAGGCACTGGCTCACGTATCTGCAAATCCACCCTGGGCACCTTTCCACCGTCAAAATATGTCACCATCAGAACCTGTGCCAGCATGCGTCCGAAACAAATGCAAAGCACAACAGTTTGATTAGGCTAATACTGACGAAGGGAGATGGGGAAACTATGCTGTGGCATTGTCTGGTGGGTTTCTCCAAGGGAATAAATGAATGCAGTGCAAGGCAGAGCCTTTGCGTACACCGTTTAAGCAACGCAAAGTTGCATGTCGCAGCTATTGTAATGTATCCCCGCTCAGTCTCGTAGTTCTCCCAGGATCGGTAAGATGCTGAATTAAATTCTATGGTTGCGCAGTGTCTGCGGGTTCCCTGCTGCAAAAGCTCCGACACTCTCTGGGTCCTAAACACGGATTGGTTCGGAAAATGTCAAACCTCTTTATGGTTTCTGCTTTCTATCCATGCTTCCTTAATAAGAGTACGGACTGCAAAACATGGTGGTCACCCAGTAAGCTGGATGTGTATGTTAATATTCCGTTCTTTATGTAAACAGACCTTAGCCTTGCACGCATAAGTACTATTTCTAGCCACACTTGACGTGTACTTTCATCAGACGCTTACAATTGGCCATTTTTTCAATGTTGTGGACTCAATACCGTAAGGATTATCGCCACTCCTGCAGCAGATAGTGTAGGTATTTTGTAGATCATCGATTTCCTATAGAACTGGAAATGTTTACCAGCGATGAGCTGCATGAGATTTAGGAAAAGATTCATTTTACAGATCTTTTGGAACAGAAACCTTCAGTCGTAAAAGACAAGGGGTTCCTTTAGTCGAGTAAGTGTTCAGTCTTTCCAATGAAATGCACTGGACGGGAACTGTCCAGGATCCGGCCTACAAACCTGTATTACAGTAAATAATTATTTCATTAGAGCAGAGGCAATCAATCCTTCTTCTCCAGTGCTGATTTCCTGTTTTAGGCATAGTCCTAAATTACTCAGCATCTGCTGGTTTGTTTTTATTCTAGTTGAACTCTCAATCACTGGTGCTCATAACAGATCTGCTTGCTTGTTTTCACTTTGTACTCTGTACTCAGTCCTTGGTGTTAGAAGTGTAAAATACACCATTTCCAGCATACAGTTCTATAAGCACTCTCCTCATCTATCTAATTAAAATTTGCTCTCTTATTTCTAAAAGACCCATGACAGGTGGCAAGTTTAAGAAGAACAGACACTGACAGGAACAAGTGTGTGACACTCCCACCATGAATCAGTGTTTCTTACTGCTTAAACCCAACTGTTTGCATTTCAGCTAACACACAAGAATGGGGACTGGGGACTCTGTTCACTTGTGTTCTCCCACTAGAATATTAATCAGAAATACATTCATTTTAGACATTAAACATAGGTGATTAAGATGTGTACAACAATTAAATTACTGTAAGTACATTGCAGTGTTTTTTTCTGAGCATTTGTTTTACCTTGACACTATAGAGTTCTCATCTTGCAAAGCTTCATCCTCTGAATAACAAGTTGAAAACACTTGTGTTTCATGAAAGATCCACCCGAATTTTCTGGTCCACCAGAATGTCTAAAAGCACTTCAGTCACGTCTTCCAGTCGGACTCCATTCTATCTCGTTTCATTTCAGTTTGTTTGGCAGTCTGTTGTTCTTGCTATTCTCCACACGAACAGAATCATGCAACAAAAACACCAGCCTTGAACATACCTGCAGATGTCTTACCAAGTAATCAGCAGGAAAAAAAAGATTAGTTCTTGTTGCCAAACGAGCAAACTTTAATTATTACATTTCTATTAGGCTGAATGTATGAATCAGTAGTCTTAATTGTAAGGGTGTGCAAGTCTGGCTCGACACAAATCTCATATTCAAACCTTCCAATGCCACAGCAATAGCAGGAAATACGTTCATCAGTGTTCTGATGCAATGAGTCAATTTTCCATTTATTTCTTCCCATCACAGATTTTTATAAGATTTAACTAAAGCAGGATGACATGTTGGAATGAGAGCACAGCTGCTGCACAGCTCCTGAGTCTTGTGTTCATACTTTCTGTGTAGAGTCTGAAATGTTCTCTCCATGTCCTATGGTTGCTTTCTTCAGATGCTCTGGTTTTCTCCCACCTTCTCGTGAAGGAGCTGGGTAGATTAATTAGTGATCGCAAATTGTCTTACAATGCAATGGCACCAGGATTGTAGTCCTGCCTGCCCTGTGCTTCCAGGATAGCCTCTGGGTCAGTGTATACCTTACCAGGAAGGAGCAACTGAGATCAATCTGAGAATGAGTCTATGGATAAAAGTGTTGCTTATTCTACTTTGTCATAAAGGTTCCTTTCAGCCTAGTGGTTTCCAGTCCTGCTCCTGGTGACTCACACACCAAACCCTCAGTTACTCAGTCAAACCCTTCAATGGCTTTAGCTGTTTGCTCCCAGCTCTTAAACGTGTTGGAGTTTTAACCGTGCTTATTTTTTTAAGTGCAGTAAAATCCCAATCCCATGACGAGAAACAAACTGCAAATATTCCAATGAAATAACTGGAATGGAATGAAAACCAGTAGGTGTGGGGGTCACCAGGACTGGGAACCACTGTCCTAGATCCTAACAACTGGTAACAGCCTCAGAAGAGAAAAACTATAACGAACCCACTGCATAAAACCTCAGCTTTTTAGTAGCAATGTCACAGAACTGTATTATCATCATAAACATATGTACTGCTAATGTAAAATAAACAACATACAAGACAGTGTTTTCATGCTATAAAGGAAACTATAAACAGACAGCAGCTGAAAGTGGGTCAGGCCACAAAAAGCTCCAAAATCTCTTTCCAGAATGGTTGACAATTGGTGATGCTATTAGGCATTAGCTGTAGATTCTTCATTATTTAAACTTTTGGGGGGTTGCATGCTGAGCCAATTCAATTATTTAAATCAGATCTTTCTAAATCCATAATACAACAGGGCTGCCATTTTTTGCTGATGCACCAAGAAGCTGCCTCCTGCTACTCCAGGGTGAATTGGGACTGCCTGGCCATTGGCATGCAACCCTACCTGCAGCAGCTTCCAAAGAGGTGTGTCAGCATTCTCTGCCTCTCAACACAGCACAGACAGAAGCAGGGCTTTCACAAGGCTAGGAGAAAGCTGCACAGCTTTAATTCTGTTCCAGCAGTACTTAAAGGCAGCAATCTTTCACACACGTCTATGGGGGGGGGGGGATCACATCCTGCCCAGTGAAGCATTGCAAGATTTCCAATAACAGCTGTACAGAAGACAATAGTATTTCGTTTCGGAATCGCAGAAGAGGGCCAAGTTCACTGTGGAAGATAAGTGATTTAAATTACATAGACGACGAAGTGATGCCTGTGGCCTGAGTGAAGGTAATGATCAAAGCCACTTAAATATCCTGTCAATACAAGACTTCTGCTGGATGTCAAAAAAGAAGGGCAGTTTCATTTTATTTTAATGGTACGCAAGCTGTTTCCTTAAAGCTACTCGCATTAGTATCCAAGCATGGAGGACTCCTGTGATAACAACCACCCTTTAATTCCTTGTGATCTGCATCAGATATGCACAATGAAGTTATCAGGATTGTCGAGGCAGTACATTAAAGGAATTTATGTACTGTTTCATTGGTTATCAAAGACTTTCAAAGATGGTCCAACTGCCAATTCCAACATAAATTAATACTGTAGATCACTCTTGACCTATGGCTTTTCTGTATCTCATACCACCCGAGAGCTTTGTGACTATTTCAAATCGATTACTCATCGAGCTGGTATGAATTGCTGTGATTCCTAAACTTTTCCCCAGACCTATAAAACATGAAGGTCCTTCCAAGACTGGAGTTGACGTAAACTTCTTCATCACGAAACTGAAATGACTGCTGTAGACACTTCTTAGTGACTATCATAAATACTATTTATTGTATTTTTGTTCACTTTCCAAAGGGGGGAGGTAAGAGGTATGTCAGATGTACCAGCTATAAAGCTGAACAAGTCTTTTGCCATGCCCTGATGATGTTCCACATGTGATCTCATTATCAGCTTGATGTCTTATTTATTCAGGGTCCCATTCAACTGACCTCAACAGCTAAAAGATCCTAAATGCTGAGATTTAATATGACGTTTACGATTATAGGAATGGTCCTCAGTCCACACAGTGATGGCTTCCAAATAATTTGATAGACATTCAAGATCCTGAAAAATAAACCCCAGGGTCAGAGTAATTCCTCTGTATACAGAGCTGTATGCAGCTGTATGCAGCTGTATGCAGCTGTATGCAATGTTTTATAATAGGCTTCCTCTACCCTTATTTAACCCATTTTATAGGCTACAGGGAAATCCCATTCTTGGCTCATTCCAGAACTGGGTCTGCAGATTTGCCTTGCAGCTGAGCTGCTAATGATATCAATTAGCTCATTATCATCTCAATTGGACCAAATTAACTTTCCTCCGCTTTTTTTTTTTTTGGTTGTGCTTTAATCCAGCAACTTTCAGGCACAACAGTCCTTACAACAAGTACTTAATCAACTCGGAAGTGGGTTTTTCTTCCAAGCAAGCAGGCAAGCTCAGCTAAAATATGTTAATCAAAATATTTCCGTCTTTAATGACCTATTCAGGGCTGTGGGAGGTCAAAGAGTAGAATGGCAGAGACATGTTAAGAAAAGAACACCTCAGGGCATTAGGACCCTCTAGACAAGGGGTGGCCAACCCTAGCTAGATGCTGCCTGGCAGTGAGCTGGAAGCAGCTGTTTTTCACTGGAGCACAGAAGAACTAGGCTCAGACCCATAAACTAAGCCCCTCATTGACTGTGCTATAATGGAGGAAGCTGCCATTAATCAAAACAGGCCAAGACTGAAACAAAAACACTAAGCTTTGTTCCTTAGTTAAGGGAGTTTTGGGGAGATTTATGAGCTCATGTGGCTAAAACTAATCAATAACTTTAATATCAAACTTTAAATCAATTACCTAATTAAGATTTTGCAATCGAGTTGTAAAAGCTATAGGAACAGCAGCTTCTTCCCAGTCAGCCCATACTTTTCATGACCTTATACATGTTCCAAGAAGAGTTTCAACACAGATTAAAACATAGCAGGTTCAAAAATGGAAGTTCTCCTTAATGAACCGAGGAGTGGAAGCTGTAAGGGAGACTGATTTAATTTGACCTGGAGAGCCAAGTCCTTTTCAATAATTTCAGAATTGGTGAAAAGATATTCTACGTGCATAAACTGTGTAGATTGAGCCCTATAATGTAGAGAATTGCTTTCCTCTTGCATCACTATCCAGGAACCCCTAGGACCAGCATGATTATATCACTTCTTTATGCCTACTTTCTGTTTATGGAAGGCCCCTCTATCCAACAAAGCAGGTCTTATTAATCTGCAAAATATATAATGACTACTAAAATAATTTACCATGCTCAAACAGGTGTCCCTGCTTTCATCCACACTCAAGAGAGCTGTTCACAATTTTAACTTTATTCTAGCAACATTACAGGTAAGAAAAACAGCTCTTAGTATACACATTTTATCTCACATCAGATTTGTTCCCAGTTAACTTAATCAATGCAAAAACATTCTGCATTACATACAAAAACAATCTGTGAAAAATACAGATAAAGAGTTAACTGGCTTGTACCAAAGCATATTACACATCACCAAGGAAAACCTGCAGGTGACTCAATACTAAAATATAGTATGAAAAGAATAGGGTTAACAAAAACATCACAGCAGATCTGGGCCCTAATTACTGGATTAGGGTATAAGAGCAATGCCAGTATTTGGATTTCAAAATGCAAAATACTATTGGAGCAGAATAAAAGACCACGCGTTTTCAAAACGGCAGGGGAAAGGTACTGTAAGACATTTAACAGTAAGTCGTACAGTCCATCTTTAACTCGGATAACCTTCGCTCTACGAGATACAACAAACAGCTGAAATTGAACATTTTGGGACATACAAAGATCAAAATGCTGAATAAATGGACACTGCTGTACTTTTTCAATCAGATATTAAAAATAGCAGACATACAAATTTGGTATAAAACCTTACGTGTACAGTTCTTTTCACGTAAGATTTTAATACACATGTCAAATTTGGAAGGTAGATGATAACTGAAAGGATTGTGGCACATTACAGGAGATAAGTTCCCAACCTCGTCTTGTGAGGCCCAGTACAAAGTTTCCATTTCAGGGACACTGAAAATTTCATGAGACACCACAGTCTTCAGACAATGTCAGCAAGTGAGAGCAAAACGCGTGCCCCATGTTAGGTAGGTCCATGAGAAAGCGCTCTGAGCCACAGTTGGGGGAATCAGAACTGCTGAACAATAAGCTTTTTCTTCACGTCATGGGAGAATTTGTTCATTTTGAAGAGGTCACTGTCATAGAACGCAGACAGATTGTGGATGTTGATCTGACGGGCCTGAAAGAGGGGAGAATGGTTACTAAGATAAACCTCTCCTATCAGGATAAAACAAGATTAATCTTAAAATAGGCTTTACAGAAGCTCCTGCGATAATGCTGTCAGAAGTTTAAGAACACTTAATTGTAAGCACTTAAAATCAACACCACTTGCAGGACGCTATGTAGTGCATTACCTTATGATGAGGGCATCTACAGATGCATGTCTGCTAGATCCAAAATTATTCTACCTTTTACCAGTATAATTTCTACTAGAGTCTGCCGCTGTTAGAACAAGAAGAGGATTTAACTACTATTAAGTGGGTTTCCTTTTTTTCTTGACTGTCCAGAAGGGTTGTGGAAAATAAAGCAGGATGGCCAATTTCAAGGGACGTACTTTGTTCTCACCTAGCTGTCAATAGTTTAAAACCATGAGTGCCAAGTCAGTGCTATTCAATGTGTGACCATTCTGTTGCAACTAGCAGGATTGATATAGCAATTAAAGTGCTAAATATGAAGAAATGTGGGGAAGTATTGTAAAATTCTCCAAAGATACTGAAAGGGTAAGAAGCCCTAGTCTTCAGAAGATGCATTACTCGGACCTCAACCATATCAAGCACCTCTCCCCGACTCCTTCCTGTTGTCCCACTGAAAGTTACTTTATCCCAGCAGTGCCCTCCTCCATACCTTATCAGCCAGGTCCTTCTCTGGTATTTCAATGGTATCCTGCTGTGCTCCATAACGGTTTCGTTGGTACGTCACCTGCTCAGCTACCAGCTGCTTCAGGATAAAGAGCAGTAGCTCATTGTTGTCTCGCCTGAAGGCCAGATAACGGGCAAATGTCTGAAGGAGAGAAGGGCAGGTTTACTCCAGAGGTTTGCTGCCATCCACTCGTTAGGCAAACAGAAATCTTAAAAGGGCACACACCACGAAGAGCTCAAATTTAACTTTCCAGGCACTCCAGTGCCACCTAGTGGTATTTATTTCTTAAATCCCAGATTCTTCTGTAAATTTACTAGTGCAAAAACCCAAAGCCCAAACCCAACATGAGTTTGTCAGTTTCATAAAGGGAAATGTTCATTCAACTCATCAGGGCTTCATTTAACAAATGAAGGAACTTACCCGAGGAAAATACTTTTAACAGAAACCCATTGGCTTCTAGCCTTCAGTACCAACTGACTCTGTAGGCTCATTTAAAGTGGTGTGCAGAACGTGCATGACTCTAGTTTTCTAGAAAATTAACTTGCTTTGTTGCTTTAATTTATTCTAACCAGCTGAATTCTGAAAACGATCCTAAAATCCAAGCATAGCTATTGCTCCCGAGTCGGAAAGATAACCGGACCGCCATGAGCGCGGGCCTATCCAGAAACACAGGAAAGCGCCGCGGGACCAGACGAATTAAAGCTGCAAAGAGACAGAACAGTAAGGAGAGACCAGCTTCACGGAGCGCCCACCTTCCTCATGCTCCTCATGACGCTGAACTTCTGCGTGTCGATGAAGCTCTCCAGCATCACCCGAATGGCCATGTTGACGTCGTCCTCCACCACGTAGTCCCTCAGGTGCATGCGCGCGTGGGCCTCGGCCATGCGGATCATGGACTCGATGTGGCGCACCGTGATCGGGATGCTGCCCGTGGCCTGCGAGACAGCGCGCAGCGCGCCCGTCGATTAGGGCTCGGCGGAAGAACACCGCGAAACTCGGCCATACTCGGAGCGTGACTAAATAGGACCGCGGGCTCAGGCTGTGCAGTTCAGCTACAGATGTATGAGGGGTGTCAGTTACAATTAAGGGGTGTAAAAAGGACATGAAAAATTCTGCCACTTTTTTACTTGTCCTGGCTGCAAGGAGCCTCACGTTCACAAAGATGTTACCAAAGCAACCAAGTAGGAGATGTCTATCTTGCACACATTTAAGGTTACAATATTATGGCTTTATTACATTGTGGAAGGTATTAACGGCAGCAGTGAGCTAACCAAACACATGTAGTGCGTGTATCAAAAAGTATGTTAAAACAAGACAAAAGCTGGTTTGTATTCACAGCTGCAGAAACTAAATCCCTCCTACAAAGTTAAGAGAATAAAGAATTCATTTCAAAGAACGGGACTGATGTGTTAAACAAACCTGTCATGTACCACATGAAGCTGTACTCTCAAAAAGAGCTGGGAAGCTCTTTTGCCAAGCGGTTTGGCTGTCCTGCAGGGCAGTCTTAGCGCTATGTTGCTGTGTGTATCGAGTTGAAATACTGAAAGTGCACAAGACCTGCCCTGAAGAATTTCCCACAACACGACAGTAAGAAAGGATAAACCGTTGCTCTCCAGAAGGTCTAATAAGTAATGTCAAAGCTGGCTTACCATGGACTCCTTGCGCAGATCGCTGTACATTTTTGCCACTTTGTCCTGGTCCATCTGGTTGAGCTTGGGGTGCACTCTCTCCTTGGCATAGATGATGTATTTCTTCAGCAGCTCCTGAGGGATGGGCTCCACGCCATAGGTGTTGGGTAGGACCACCTCCTCCAAGCTCCCACTTGCCACTTCCTTGTTGCCAGGGTGATGCTTGATGTGGCTGCTCACCACAAAGCGGGCAAGCATCTCATCCTGCCAGATAAAGAGATGGAATATCCATTTTTACTATTCTCTTCCACTTTTTAGATGTCAATACCATGCATTACAAGTTCAACTTACTATAAAGACACATGATGCCTGAAATCAGCTTTCTTTTAAAGCAACAAAGTGGAGCTGCATGCAAGTCAAAGGGTTTCACCACCAGAAACTAACCTGCACAGGATCCACAGTATCTCTGACCACGCACAAAACGTCAAATCGTGACACTATGGGCTCAGTCAGATCCACATTCTCCGAAAAGGTGAGCGAAGGATCGTATCGACCACCTGTAATGTCCACAGAGGAAAATGGCAGTTAAAGAAATTGCATTTGTATTATATTGTACATTTTGTAGTAGAGTGTACAGTGTAACCTTTCTGAAAATCACCCAGGCTAAAAAACCTGTAAAAAGGTTAAAACTGTTTGCCCATAGACCCTCTTCTAATCAAATTTTCACATCATGTACACCATGCAGGGATAATTAAATCTGAACAGCTCTCTAGAAAGCCAAAAGCTTTGTTTTATGTGCATGCTCAGAAGCAACCAGCAAACAGGCCAGTCTCCAAGAGATGAGAAGTGATTCTATAAGACCTCTAATATTAGTGTCTATAACAGAGGCATCTTTACCAATGGGGTTGGAAGCAGCGATGATAGTGCAGCGAGCCTGAAGGGAGGTGACAATCCCAGCCTTGGAGATGGAAATACTCTGCTGTTCCATAGCCTCGTGGATACTGGTTCGGTCCTGGTCGTTCATCTACAATACAGGCAGGAACACAACCACCTAAGCCGTCTCAGAACACTTAAGAGGGCAGACTCTTACACATCATGAACACAGGACACATTGCGTAAAACGAGCTGCGGGTCAAACCGATTATTCGAAAGACAGGGAAAAGGGATATTACATTTGTTATTGCCTTTATAAAAGGTGAATCACAAAGGGTTGTAGGAAATACAGTATACAATTACACAGACTTTGAAGATCCTATAGCAATGTTATGAAAGTGATGTAGTGCGAGAATTCAAGCCGACGCCATTTAAGAAAGGACTGCTTGTGACATCAACACTATGTCATGATCAATATCTGATAACCCAATAACTTGGGTCTGCCTCCACGAATATCTACCAGCAGCCGTATCACCCTGCAGCTCACAGCTGGCAGCCCACTGAAGCTAAGCAGAGGTAAGGCTGACCAGGTGGATGGGAGACCTTCTGGGAAAAACTAAGGTTGCTACTGGAAGAGGTGTTAGTGGGGCCAGCAGGGGGCGCTCAAACTGCAGTCTGTGTGGGTCCCTGATGCCCCAGTAAAGTGATGGGGATGCTATACTGTAAAAAGGTGCCATCCCTCACATGATATGTAAAACCAAGGTCCTGATTCTCTGTGGTCATTAAAAATCCCAGGGTGTTTCCCGAAAAGAGTAGGGGTGTGGCCCTGGCATCCAGACAAATTTCTCATTGGCCTTTATCAATCACAGCCTCCTAATAATGCCCATTTATGAACTGGCTTCATCACTCTGCTCTCCTCCCCACTTATAGTTGCTGTGTGGTGAGCGTACTGCTGCACATTGGCTGCCATCGCATCATCCAGGTGGGGCTGCACACTGGTGGTGTTGAAGGGGAGTCCCCATTACCTGTAAAGCGCTTTGTGAGGAGTGTCCAGAAAAGCATTATCTAAGTGTAAGAAATTATTACTACTACTACCACCACCATTCCTGTTCCCCCTAATTAATAAAATCCCCTTGAAAGGACAAACTGAAAGATCGTTGTTCCATAGGCTGCCCCGTGGTTAGTAGTATGTCCTCCCACACGTTCGGCCTCACACACCTTATCGAACTCATCGATCAGGCAGACCCCACGGTCGGCCAGCACCAGGGCGCCCGCCTCCAGGGTCCACTCGCGGCTCACGGGGTGCCTCTGGACGTAGGCCGTGAGACCCACCGCTGAGGCCCCCTGTCCAGTGGTGAAAACCGCCCGGCTGGCCACCTTCTCCACATACTTCAGGAACTGGGACTTGGCCGTACCAGGATCTCCACAGAGCAGCACATTAATGTCCCCTCTCACCTTGTGCTTGCCACCTGAGAGCAAAGATGCCAACAGCTCAAGATCACAGGCTTTAGCATCATTCAAGTGGAACATTTCTAAATCCCTCACAAGACCAAAAGCACAAAGCCTGCTTTCAGTTTTTCCAACTAAAAAGTTTTGACCATGACCTTGTTTGGTCAAAACCATGAATTTCATTTAAAAAAAAAGCAACCTACATAATAAGCTTCTCTAGTACACATTGGCGTACCTGCCGTCAAAAAAACCCAAGCCTTCCTTAAAAAACAAATTAAAGAGAAATAACGCAAGGAACTCCTAAAGATACCCTTAATTTCAAGTGGGGCTGCAGACTTGAACAACCTCTTTTTTGGTTCCACGTTCCAAGGCTGCAACCTTATACAATGTTCTCAGAAGAAGTCCATATTTTTTGCCATTCTGAGTTGTTTATGTCCAAGCCTGAGCAGTATTTCCCCACTATCGATCTACTTACCAGGGTTTTTTGGTTCTCCTCCAAACAGAGCTAAAGCAATTCCTCTCTTGATGTCCTCGTGCCCGTAAATGGAAGGACCAATACTGGCAAATATCTAATTGAATAGAAAGAAAAATCAATCTTTGCTTAAAAATATTCCAACCACGTACTTACACAGACTACTGTCAAGCAATCAAGTGGAATATTTTTTTTAAAGTGCATCAAGTTCACATTCTGCAATGAGTAGCCGAAGGCAGGGAACAGATTCTAGAGATGGAAAGGCTACTTTCATTATTGAGGCCAGTGACCAAAATCTCATTTTTTGCATTTTCCATTGAACACCAAGTTCATTGGCCCACCGAGCTCATTTTCAAACAGGCAGACCACAAAGTGGGCCTAATCCACGCACAAACACTCGCCAAAAGCCTGACGCAGGAAAGAGAAAGCGTTGCTCATGATCATGCTTCCTAGCCGGCGATAACGATAATTCAATGAGCTCACCCGCTCTCCGGTGCGCTCGTCTTTCGACAGCGCAATGATGGCCTTCACATCCTCATCGGTCAGCTCCCCCACAGCCACCTTGTCGTCCTTCTTGGCGATGTGATTGGCCATGATAACCGTGGCAAAGACGGGGAAGCCATTGGCTGTGTTGAGGGAGCCGTCATAGTTGTTGTTATAAATGCCAGTCAGCTCCTACAGGCAACACAAAACCGCCCACAGTGATCATCTGAGCAAACTCAAAGTCATTTCAAAATAGATGTACGACTGCTAGCATTGTTTGTTAAAGGTGTAAAAGAAAACAATTAAAGTGATGGGTACGCTTTTTAACATATACACAGTTACAAATTTACTACATATTTCATTTTGATTATAGTTGGGTGGATCTTTCCACATGGACAATGTACAAACAATGGCAAAGCTTTAAATTGGTCATTTAAAGCACCACGAACTCCAAAAATGTAACTATTCACCTGAATTGAATACGAAAATTTCAATCTCATTCAGAAAACCTCTTTCAAAAAATACACCTCACGAGAACTGTACACAGAAACTTCCTCCATCAACCCTGGGTTGAGTGTTCCATGGAGAAATAAATCGGTTCGTTCCCAGAGGCAGGAACAGAAGCATCATCCCCATATGGCCCTGTACTTACAATTTCATCCCCAGGTTTGCAGCTATCCACCAAGTCTGCCAAGAGGATGGCATCTTTGGACCGGGGAAGTCTCCCTGCGGCCACCTTGCCAGGGCTCTCCTGGATAGTGATGCGCTGATAGTTCTGGTAGACAGTCTATGAGAAAAAGCATCTGATTATCCCCTGTGAGTTACAGCGCAGTCAGTCGTGTGTTCAATGGTCATTCTATTTTATGACACACTAATCACTATATAAAACAGGCTCCATTTATTCCTTTAAAGTAACAAGCTAATCAATCGTGTCGTAAAATTCCTCAAGGCTCTTGGATCAAGCATGCAACAACAGGAGAACAAAACATTATTCTCTTGTAATTATTGTAATAATATGATTACACCAACTAATGTTACATCTTTTCACAGGCACCTTATTTCAGATAGGCATCATTAAATGTTTAACCATGTGCATATGCCTTGAACATACTTCAGTTTTTAATCTAATAAGGATGCGGCACATACAACGTTTTTTCCAAATCATATTTTTGCTTCCGTTTCTCTTTACCGATTCAAAAACAGTAGCCATTATTCTCAAAGCATGACTGAAGCGCTGAACCCTAACTAATGGGTCATCAGCTATAGGATGTTAAATTGACTCTTTCGGCATTCCACAATTATTCTTAATTCTTAAAACTGGGCTTGGAGAAACGTCAACCGGAATGATAACGCCAAAACATGGCCGAACAGGACAGGGCAGAACGGTCTCTTACCTCTTCCATATTGATCTCGAAAGGGCCGAGTGACTGACACTCAGGGCAGGAGCCTGGCTTCACCTCCTGGTTTTGGGACTGGAAGAAGGGCCCCAGGATGAAGTTACACTTGTTACAGTTGTACTTGACCATACTGAGCTGAGGCAGGACCCCTGTGCAGCTGGTCACCACCCCACTGGTGCAGATCAGCTGGTTCAAATGCAGCTGCCTAGAAGAAAAGAAGAGATTGAATTAACTCATCAACAGCCATGGACAGGGGAAGTGGCTGTGGGCAGGGTTACAAGGCAACTTAATATGGCTTCCAACTAAATTGTGATCCCAAGATATACCAATATCCCCCTTGGGAGCTAAGAGCCTTAATTAGTCCTGCAACCAATTACCCTTCCTGGAGATCTATACAGAAGACTCATCTCATTTTAGCTGCCTTTAAAAATACACAATGCCCAAGTTATATATTAAAATAATGTTAAATAACATGTACTGGTTGGTACAGTGTTTTACCTGAGCATAATTTATGAACAGAATAAAATACAGAATTTCAATTGAGTTTTAACTAATCGAAGCACATTGGCCAAAAATGTTCTTCCAAACTCTCTAAGCAAACAAAGCAAGGCTGCCATTAGCTAGTGTCGGTTACCTCAGGGAGCGCAGGTCTTCCACCAGCGGCAGGTTGCAGATGCGCACGTGGATTTCGCGAGCGATGCGGTCGTATTTGGGGTACATGGCCAGCACCACCTCCTTGGCCGCCTCGTCGAAGATCTTCAGCATCTCGGTGGGCGCCTCCGGCAGGAAGTAGGCCAGCACGTGCTCCCGAGCAGCCAGGTCCTCGTAGTTCACCAGCAGGCTCTCTCTGTTCTCTGGAGGAGGAAGAGGCGAGGGTAAGCCAGGCAAGAGGTGCTCACAAGAATACCGTCCCTGAACCATGACCTTCCCCTCACAGCAGCCACTACAACTGGAAATACAACTGTCCTAAAGTTTAAACCATCACCAAAACTGCTGCGCTACTGGCCAGGGTAACCATACTGCAGATTTAGTCCGTACTTCTTTAAAAATAAAAGTGAGAAAGGCACCAAAGTCTCTTGAAACATTAACAAAGCTTAATTTTCCAATGCAAGGGGAAATTCCCCAAGTCAATTAATATTGTAACTTCACATTAACTGCATAACTAATTCAGGAGAGAATGTCCCTTCAGAAAGAGCTCTAGACAAGTTATGGAAAACTTGTGCCGAACTGGGAATATAAGACTCTAAAAAAAAATTATTTGACGATACGAATCCTATTCATGGGATGAGTCCTACCAATTCAAATGATCGACTTGGTAAAAAGGTCTGATGAGCCAACATCAACTGCCAACAGGAATTAACATCAGCTCAGACACCTGAAGCTAGGTACCTTTGCACATGTCGCTGATCTTCTCCTTGAAGACGTTGTGGCCGTTCTTGTCCACGTGGGTCCTCAGGAAGTTCTTGAAGCGGTGGTAGATCTCCAGGCGTGGGGCGGCCATGGACACCCACTCCCGCACCGTGTGGCCCTTCATGTCCTCCAGATTCTCGATGCTCTCGATGATCTCGTCGTCCTCGTCGGACGCGGCGCCTTCCGCCGCGCGCTCCGCCAGCCGCCGCTTGCGGGCTGGCCGCTCTTCGTCCTCATCCTCGCTATCTGTGGAGCATGGGGCCAAGTCACGCGCGGTACAACGCTCGCTACACAACCGGAAGCACAACGGGAAGCAAGCACAGCGGTTTAACACGCTGCAGGCGCCTCGCAAGGCGCTGTGTACTCCAAGCCTCATTTGTTTTGCTTCAGCAATAGAAAATGCAGAATAACCAGGAATATCCTGCACCTTCTCAAAACTAGAGACAGCCTCAGTTAGTCTTCACAATGGGCAAAGTGCAAACGTTAGTCTCATTTCCTTCCAGGTGATCCTCCCCCAAATATACAGGGCTGTTGCAGAAAAGGGGTCAATGTGATCTTCAGGAATTCTAAAGAATAATCTTAAGCCCTTCCTCATGAGGAGAAAGAGAATGGACCCTCCATAGGAACGGAATTAAAAGGCATAAAACTTTTCTGACCAGAAATCAATTTCAATTAGGATGGAAATAACAGTTCTACACTGTGAGCTTTTCCTCTTTTAGTTCTGAGACACTATGTTAACGGTACACAACAGTACCTTTTCTTGTCATGTATAATAGCGATATAATACTCAGAAAATCCACTCCCCTTTCTGGACACCTCTACTTGTTAAAGATAATGATAATGTCGCTTTATTAGCCCTATTCAATTTCTTGCATTAGGAATTTGTCTTTGCGCATACCCCAGCTTGCTCTCCATGAGACAGACAGGGAGAGAAGCTTGGGGTCAGAGCGCAGGGTCAGCCATTTATACGGCAACCTTGGAACAGTTGGGGTTAAGGGTCTTGCTCAGGGGCCCAACGGAGTAGGATTTCTCTGCCGGCTGCGGGATTTGAACCGGCAACCTTCCAGTCACAGGCACAGATCCTTAGCCATAGAGCCACCGCTCCGCCCTATGACACTGGTCTATAATGTGATTAAATGAACTCATGTCATTCTCAGACAAGACCTGTTACTGAATGTGCTCTGGGCACCGGAAGATTTAGTTGGGACTTTCTCACTCACTGGGCTACAGGATCACTGCTGACTTACCATACAGCAGCCCCCTTCTTAGACGCCCCCCCAATCCTCTCTCCTGGTCCCGTCTCCTCATGGCTTCCTCGGCTGCGGCTCGGGCGCCGGGCGAGAGCTCCGACAGATCCTCCTCATCGTCCAGCCCCTCCTCCTCGTAGCGGTCCAGCTCTGGAATAGCCCGGTAGTCCCTGCAGACAGACGCTTAATGAACTAAAACATTGCTTTTGGAAGCATCAAAAAAGTGATCAAAGTCTCTAAAAAAAAACACAAATTCCTGCAATCCCTTTTATTGACCACAAATATGCACAGAATAATCAAGAAAGGTTTTGGTTGCTGTAGTCCTCTAATTCCTGGTAAAACAAGGCATTGCTCTAAAAGCTATAGAATGCTGAACAGTATTAACCTGTAGGATCTTTTAATACCCACAGCTAAAATTGCAGTTTTCTTCCAACAAAGATTCCCCACATGTGCCGTCACTAATGCAGTGATACATCATTAGCAAAAACATAAGCACACTATAATTCTGTTTGCCATGATTCACAATACTACACCCTGCAATACCTTTTTAAGCTTTTCAATGCATTAGGCTTTTTATATATCCTGCAGCTTGCTAGATCACTGTCCATCCTATAGCGCAACTAGTTTTAAATTAACTGAACTCACTGTTCTACTCTACATAATTGAATTACTAGCTGTCAAATAACATACACCAAACACAAAAATAACAGTACTTTATAACTCCGACAGGATCTTTCCAACGCCATTACATTTGGTCTTAAACTCCTACAGGAAAGTACTGCCCGATAGGCAATTTAACTTCACCTCTGTGGTGATTTCAATATTTTATGCCATACTCCAAAAGATAACGCGAAAGAATGCACCGCGCTGTAATTACCTGCTGAAATGCTACATGCCAAAGCGAGATGCATTTGTTGTGCACAATGATCGCGGCAAAGCAGTCAGCGCAGAACTCACCGTTCCATCCCATCCCCGATCAGCTCTTCTCCATCCTCCTCCTCCTCCTCGGGGAGGGGGTCCTCTCCCAGCAAGCCCTCGGACTCATCCTCGAAGGGGGGCAGATCTCTGCCGGGGCTGGACGTCAGATCACCCTGCCGGGATGCCTGGCTGGGACTAGTGGCAATGTTGTAGGACTCGGAAGAATCCTGGGAACGAGATGAGCTCAATTCAAATTCTGTTGGTTGGCATCTAGTTGTTGTTGGGGTTTTTTTTTTTACACTACAGGACCAAAAAGTAATGAGGAATATATGAACTCCTACAAAGAACCCTAAAAAAAAAAGCAATGGACTAGACACTGTAGAAATTTGATATTTGGCTCCTCCTTTTTACATAACCCAGCGTTGTTTGCGTTACCGAGGGCCGTCAAGGACACCAGGAATTAAAAGTTGAAATGAAGGCACGCAGATTGGACTAAAATCGCCTTTTGAACACTAATGCTTCTGGAGTTTGTTTTTCCAACATCTTCATCAGTCACCGGCGAGCAGTGCTCAGTCGAACAAGTGTGCTCAGGGAGTTTCTACCACACAAAGAGCAGCGCACTGTCTCGAATGCTTCTGTAGTTCTACTAACCACAGTTACATTTTGAGGATGATGTTCTAAATTACATCATTAAAATAATGGGAACGCCATTTTTAAAACATCCTTCATTACTTTAGAACGTAAACCTCAGAATGACACAATGAAAACCTTTTCACCTCACTTCCCACTAAAATCCAAAAGCCGCGTTAGACTACACTTGCTTTAAAATTAAAAATATAGCAACGTTTCTTAAAAAACTCATAAACACAACCGTAAATATTTTAAAAGTGATTTTTAACTCTGAATCCAGACACCACATATATATACACCGTATATAACGTTCCGGTTCACCTCCTATCCTAACAGTATTTAACAAAGAATGATTCTTACAAAACCTATAAAGCAAGCGTTAACCCAAACGACTGCTTTTCGAGTGCAAAATAACTCAAGCTTAAGGTTTAGGACATGAAAATGATTTCAAAGCCTAATAACAAAGCTCAAATTCCTAACTAAACCGAACGAAAAAAATAGATTGTAAATCTTCTCCACTTCAAATATACACGATAATTTTTTTTAAAAAAGTGCGATTCACTATCGGTAAAACAAAAATAATTCCATTCTCTACTTACGGCCATTCTGCAGCTCCTGGTACTTTCTCTCTCCTGCAAGGAAACTTGCTGTTTCTCTCTTTTTCGCGCGAAATGGCCATGTGACAGCAAAGCGCGCGAAAACGTATGAATATTTAATTTAGAACTACGAACGCATTTTCCGATTGGTCCATGGCTTATAAATATTCATTAGTCACGGATACTGAAGCCATGTCCGGCCACTTTTAGTCCAGCCCAGGAAATGGGGGAGGTGCTTAGCAAGTAGCTTTACTTTAGCAGATTCGTTGCGCTGCTGTTAGTTAAGACACGTGTTTTCCAATACCGTACTTTTGATAGGAGTGCGTCCTTTTTGTACTGAAAAACACTTATATTCTTTAAAGGCAAGATCTGGGGGCTGGTTTCGCATACTCTGATTAGCGTAAGAACACCGGACTACATTAGTGTAGCCTAACATTGTTTAGTAGGTTTAGGAGTTTTATTACTCAGTTCAAAATTATTATTTATCAATCTTCAGAAGTGTTTACTATCGGTAATTCTGGCCTTATACTGTTACATTAGTTTGCTTGTCAACGCTGTTGTTACTTTTATCGCTGTGCGTTTTAAGAGAACATGAATGCGTTGTCACAGAGAGATGGACTTTACATTCACCTCCACTTACCTTTCTTCGTACGTTTTACAAAACTGAGATGTTCTTATGGCATGGTTGACAAAGTATTCTAAATGGAGTCATTCAGTTTTGTAGGGATGTCATAACTGTTTGTAGAACACACGTTTTATATCACATATCACCCTCCAATCACTTTACTTCATGTCCATTTCCAGAGCAACAGTAGGTTATTGTAGTCTTATCTCCCCGTAGCAGAAGATATTTGACATGACTTCATATGAATGCAGATCCCTGTTTCAATATGAAGTTCCCAGGCTGAAGTGATGTGAACAATACTCATTACTGGGTGAAACAATCAGTTCCGTGGGATGCCTGTACCATACAGATTTTTCAGATGTAGTGTATTTATGTAGTTGTGCTTGAACCTGTTTTGATTTAATACAGCATATTCCAGCATTGTCACCTTCCATATTACACTTTTGTTGTATCATGTATTTTTTTTATTCCTCTCACAGTCCAAGGACATACTGGTAAGTTAATTGGCTCCTCAGAAAATCGGTCCTGGTGCGAGTGTGTGTGTGTTTGTGCCTGTGTATGCCCCTGAGATGGACTAGTGTTCCATCCAGGGTGTATCTTTTCTGGCACCTATTGCTTGCTGGAGTAGAATCATGACCCTGTATTGCATAAAGTGGTTAGAGTAATGGGTTAATGGATTTCTTTCAATTTAAATTGTCTGCACAGCTCTACAGTATAAAACATATAAAACAAAAATATTTCTATTTTTATCTGACAAGAAAAGACTCACTGTAAAATGTATATATGCATAGATGTGTATTTCTTTGGATTGAAGGTTGATATATAGTGCTGACATTTTTTTATGATTTATTGGCAAAAAAATACTGTAAAAGTATTTGAGCAGAATTCTGAACGTTATTCCAAACATATAAAAGACTCAACTGTGTTGTACTGAGTTATGTATGTGTATTGGTGTTATTTCTACTTGAACTACTTGGCACATTAGTTTCTCTTTGCACATACTGTATGTTGTTTTTTAGGCTAGGGCTAAAAAAAATCAACTATAAAGCAAAGAAGTCCCAAAACAGATAACCAAATTATTTTTCCAAAGACCTTATCCTCCCCCTTAAAAAAGTATTCTGATTTTTTTAACACACCGTTAATGCATACCTACTATATTACCTGGGATTACTTCTGACTTAGTTTTAAGAATGTTTCACATGCACACACACACACAAAATAATGTTACTAGCTTTTATTTCAAGAATGATTTAACAATGTTTCACTTTTGACATACCAGTCTCTATTGTGAGATGTTTCATGTAAGAGATTCACAGAAGATGATTCATTATCTAGTGCTGTAAATTGATTATGCACATACTAATTGAAAGGAATAGTCAGATTATCTAGAATTCCTCAATTCTGTTTCAGTTGCTTTTAAAGATGAGGTACAGCACAGGAAGCGTTAGTGCAAAAGCAGTGTATGTTAAAACTGTGTTGTACATAGTGTTCCTGTTTATTTGTGCCTCTAGTCTCTTTTCTGATTGGGTCAATTCCAGCATGATGCCCTCTGTATCATAGGGTTGCACATCCTGGGACTTTAAAAGCTGGTTCTCTGTTGGGCGAGACCTAATGACCACCTTTACTGTTTGGAGCTCAGATGCCACCTTCCCCATCTCATGCTCCAGTTTTCTTAACTGAGGCTGGATGCCTTCAATCAAACCATGGATCTTCTTGCTGAAAAGCAACTGTTCTTTTAAGTCCGAATCAGAGGCACTTGGAAGTATCTTGATTGCAGCTGTCCCTGCCTTATCGGCTGGCTTTGGTCCTTGCAAAGTGCCCCTCAGGCTATTAATGAGACCGCCGAGCTCCTCCTGCTGAGACTCATGTATACTGGCCTGCACCTTAATTGCTTCCTGGAGGCTCACAGGTCCCTTCTGAGCCTCCAGGAGGAGGCTTTTCAACTCCTGCAGACGGACTCTGTTGATGTAGGTGGACCCCAGCACTCCGATCAGGGCCCCCAGCACCGAGCCGATGACGGACCAGTTTTTTGTCCTTTCAGCCCTGGCTCGCTCCTTCTCGTGGCTCTCCCGCACCCCGGCCGAGAACAGGGCAAACTTCTCCCGCTCCGCCTCCTCTGCGTTCCTGTAGGCCGTACGGAGGCGACGCTCCTCCTAAAACAGCGAAGCAAAAAGAAGCACAGGGTTCCAGAAGTTAATTAAGATGAAAGTCAACCCGTATTGTCTTAAATTACAAAAGCACACCTCCCACCCCCCTTTAAATAACCCAGTGTGGAATCAGGTTTTTTTTTTTCCCCGATCCTGTCGTTCTGGCGTGAAGTCTCTTCCAGATTTCCTTTCTTGGGGCTCTAACTGAAAAAAGTGCCTTCAAGAAAATCCCTCAATGCCCTCCAGAAAAATCAATCTATCAAAAGGTAATGGCAACAAACATTTCCTCAGAGGAATGTACATAACTAGCACCAACGGACAGACAATGTAGGTCACAGAAGAAGTGGTGTTCAGAAATGGCGGAGAGCCAGACTAGCGTGTCGCAGTGAATGACACCGCTCTGAATGTAGCTCCTTAGACACGGGCTTTATACTGTACTTATAAATCATTTAATGCCGGGCTCCCGACAGCACAATTCTGCAAAAAAAGCGCCATGAAGTACGAAAGCAGACGGGGAAACCGAGACAGCAGTAATAAGTGGCGTTTTAACATCAAGCGAAAAGAATGACGGGCTCGCCCACCTGCAGCAGCTTGTGTTCCAGCGTGGCGAGCTCCAGGTAGTGCACCTCTTCCCTGGACACGCGGTCCAGCCGGTCGCGGACCTCCTTCAGCCTCACCTGCAGGGCCTCCAGGCTCTCGTGGGCTTCCCGCACTATCCCCCTGGCCACCATGAACGCCTGCTCCGCCTGAGAAACCCAGAAACCCTCGCTCATTTTCCAACTCACGAGCAGCTAACTGAACCAAGGCTAGCCTTACAAACGTCTATTATCAAAAGCAAGGAGGAAAGATTTGGTTTTCCCCACTGTTGATGGACAAGCCAAGTAAACACCCGAAAGGCTATACCACATTTTTTAGAATTAAAATAGGATTCCTATAGGAGGGTATGTGAAGAAGAAAAAAAAAAGTGTAATATAAACTCTTATTAAAAATGTTAATTATCAAGGTTCAGAAAATACATGTTATATTTACAAATATCTAATGTTATATGAGGATGATGTTCTGCTTCTTATTAAAGGTATTGGTAGGGTATGTAAATGACTACTATGAATGTTGGTGGTGTGCCGTATAAGACTGAAATAAAGACAGGGCAATTGACTTTTCCTTTTTCTGAAACATTTTTTGAGCTTAAGAATCAGTTAATTAAGCCCCTGTCATAGGATTCCAGGGGATCTAATATCAGAATCTATAAATCTACTGGTCTTAAGGTGCTTTTGAGAGCAGTAGAATTATAGAAACCAATCCTAGGGGATTATTTCATTACCATTTTTATTGTTCTACAGTGAAATGTTATTTGAAACATTTAGCATTTGGGTAAAGAAAAGATACAACCAAGGTATTGGGAAATGCACAGTTGAAATGCTAATGGCTTCTTTATAGGTAGCTTGTATATTATACAAAATTTTAGTTACAAGTTAAAGGTTTAAGGTTTACTATTACTTTATTAACCAAGGTCTGCACAGTGTCTTTGAATGTTTCTCTTATAAAAAACCTTCACATTATGTAAAGACAACAGCCGTATATACATCCACAGTACATCTATAAATGTATTGCCCAAGCATATTAGGTAAGCGGTGCAGCACAACTGTCTAACATCATTTAACTGAAAAAGAAATTGTGGTATACTATTTGTTTAAATAAAAATAAGCAATTTATTTTTAAATTTCACTTTTTATCATTGTACTGCTTTTTTGGGATTTTTCTTCCAACATTTCGGCAGAACTGTAGAAAACGTGTTCCTTTATTTCTCAGTACTAGTGTGCAGTGTAGTTGTAACTTCCCCCACTTACCTCTGTGACTTTTGCCTGTGCATCTCGGACTTCATTCAGCCCCACAAACTCCTCATATTTCTCCCACCAGTTGTTGATGGCGGCTGAAGCTCCCTTGACAGAACTCTGCCCCCACTGTCTGCTTATATTAGCAAACTTTTGCAAACCGGACTGCAGTGGTAGCTTTCCACCGGCTTCCTTCGGGTTCTGAGCACAATAAAATCGAAACGGAAGGACATCTGGTCTGAGGTTTCCCGATACCTGAGCAAGATAACAGCGTGTCCCATACCTCACTGGTAACAAGTCCACTCTGTACCTCATTGAAGACGGTGCTACCACAGTCCAAATATGGTACAGGAGACTACTGGCCCTGTTTCAAACACACCTGAAAAAAAAGTATAATTATTTATAATCAGACATATTTATATTACTACTCTGACTTTAAAAAGTTAATGCATCTTTAACTTTCAACCCCTGCCTTACACCATACACAAAATGTAAAGCTGTTATGTCTTCTATACTGATCTGGTTTATCATGCACACTAAATAAAAAAGAAAGTGTTACATTTACTCTACATGTTAGAGTTAAAATGAAAGGTGATGGTTTCCTTGTGCTCAGGTAATTCTGTGTTCTTGCAATTATTTCCTCTATACACAAACACACAAAATGTGTAAAATGCTGTAAAATGTTTTGGTGAACAGCATTGTAATACAAGATATAAATAATGCCACACAAACTGTGAATCTTACATTAAATGATCTCCTTTCTAGTACTGATTTTGGTCCATAAGAATTATGTGACGTGGTTACCCAGTTCTGCAGCACAGATCCAATAATAAAATAAACAATTATATAAAATATATTCTCAGATTCAAAAATGTGTTTAGCACTGGAATTTTCAAAGTCTTGTTTAATTTAAGGCTTTCCTAAACCAGCATCTACTAAGGATAAAAATTAGATCTTTCTGTCTCTCTTTAACGCTTTTCTTTCACCCTGGGGAAATGATCTTTGACCTACTTCAACCTTTCTATAAAACATCCCTTTTAAATACCGGTTCGATCTCACGTACACCACACTTTTGACAAACGTATATCTGCTTCCGCATGCCGGCGTTCAACTTTGACACCTATGAAAACTGCAAAGAACTACTGGGTAATCTCGCCTGGTATTTTGATTATTATCTATTTCTAAACTAGTATTTCTTATATTTCGAGATCTTGAACTAAAGGTGAAGTTGCTCAAATTTAGAACCTTAATTAAACTAAATGCTGTTCGTATAATCGGATTTAAGATATTTTGTGGAATTTATAGCACACTAAATGCGAAAAACACCTCCTCTGTATGTTGAGCAACCAATGCAGCTATTACTCAGAAATTTGTAATCCTGTACCTAAATGGAAGCATTTTGACAAGACAGATTATGGTGTTTTTATCAGACACAATTGAGATAATATTATGAAATCTTGTGAATGGAGAAAGGTCACTAGCGGAAAAAAAAACACCACCACGGTTTTTATTTCCCTGTTTTTTTAAAGAAAATATTTACTTCGGGTTTTTTTTATCCATAGCTTCTTTAATGTAGCGCGTACTGAGAAATACATACTACATGAAAAGTGTTAAGATATTAAAAGGATGTACCTCAGTCGAACAGACTCTCCAGCGGTTGCACATAGAAGAAGCCTATAAGAAGAATTGCAGACCTTTTCACTCCGGCGAGTTTTCAGGACTTCTCTTTCCGGTGGGGGATTTGGGTCCTTTCTGTGCGGAGCCTGAAAACACGCCTGTAGCGGACATGTCTGGAAGAGACGGTGAGGAAGATTAAATAGAGATCTTTAAATAAAAAAAGAATAATATTTTGAATAACTTGGTTATAAATATTTTAAAACTGCTCAGGATATGTGCGTTCCTGTATGTATACCTTAGAACATTTGAGAAAGCCACGGTGTTTAAACTGAAATAACGCTGCACGGTTTACCTGGTATCATACGATAAATCAGGTATTAATCTGTAAACCCCGAGTTAATTAAACATGAGACGCTATATTGTAAATTTTCAAGTCCTTGTGACCACCTTTTTTCTGTCTCATTAATCTTGTAACGTACTTACTTGATAATGTAACGGATAACGGCAAATAGAAACGGAAGGTGGTGTGTCAATGCGGGCGGTTATGGTGCCCTACAGTAGTTCGAAAAACATTATAAATAGGCATTCATTATATGTTTGATTATTCCTCTGATAGGGTATGCTTTTTAAAAATATTTTGTCATTTGAAGACCTGGTCAGTATTCATTTGTCTTCAGCAATTAGGGCTGTTCAGCTAGCTTCACTGGTGTGGTATTATTTATCTGTTATCCTTCGACAAGCTGACATCAGCAATTAAGACGCTGATTAAGATAATCATCTGAGTCCCTCAATTAAAAAATGAGTCCGCGAATAAAGGAAGTTCAGTGCCCAGACTGTTAAGATTAAAAAATGCTTTAAATTTAGACATTATATTTGAGTCGATGCACATTAGAATATTATATGAATGGGAGCTCCTCATTTTAAGCCTGAAGCATCCTGTTTACTCAGTTTTTTTTTCCCCTGTGGTAGGTGGTAAGAAGAAACCTCTAAAACAGCCCAAGAAGCAGTCAAAGGATATGGATGATGTAAGATATCCCGATTGGTCTGTGACGGTCTCGTTCAAAATCAGCCGCAGGGTAGATTTGAGAGGTTTAACTTCAAATTCGGAAACGATTTGTGTTGTTTTTAATGGCAGGAGGACATGGCTTTTAAACAGAAACAAAAAGAAGAACAGAAACAGCTGGAGGCGTTGAAGGCCAAAGCGTCTGGAAAGGGACCTTTAGGTGGGTACTGCATTCCCCATGCTTCCACATCTCTCACTGAACTGACAGGTGGGAAAACGCAGACCTGTAACATTAACCCGAGAGTCATAAAAGCCTGTATCATAAGGCATTCTGTAATATTCTGGTGAAATGAGAAATGACCACACCAAAAAAAGGTATCAGAAGTAACAAGGATGGCATCAACCTACCAATATATATTTAAAAACATGCACTTACATGGAGTATTTGAAGTCTACTTGCCTTTTCTCTGTACAGGAAATCTTGCATTTTACTGCAATTTTAATATGTTGTTAATTTGTGTAATTTGCCTTCTGCAGCTAGCGGTGGAATCAAGAAATCGGGAAAGAAATGAGTGGGAATTCTGAGATAATGGGAGGGAGGACTGGGATCAAGGGACCTCCATTTCTTCAGTTGGGTACATTTTTGGACAAATGATGCTTTCTTTGTTGTTGTTCTTGTAAAATAAAATACATTTGGGAATATTTTTTAGGCCTCTTAATTGTAATTTATTTTTTAAGTAAAGTGCATGGCTTCATGTTATTTGTTTTCATGCAAATATAGGCTTGATTTCATATCTCACCTCAACCCCCCCAAAAAAAAATGAACCTCACTGATGCAAAGAGTACTTCAGTATACTCATTTTACTGTTAAGAATTTTGAATGTGCATATCTTGTATGGGGCTTTCTGTTTTGTAATTTGTATAAATACAATATTTGCATAGTGTTGTTATCTTTCTCTCGTTTGGAGTTAATTTGCATCTTAACAGAAGTTTCTGAATCATGCTGCCTCTTCCACGCTCCTTTACAGGTTCTCTAATTCATTTTTCTTTCCAGTGACTGAAAAAAAAATCCTCTTAAGAAAATCTCAACACTCTCCAGAAATGCCAAGGCACAAAATTGAAGATCCTGAATTAACAACTTTGCAATTCTTCAGTTTTAACAAATTTGATTTCACTAGATGTGCTGTAATATGTCATGAAAGCTACACTCATGTTGCATAACTGTGTGTGGTTTATAAGAAGAAAACCCCTTTCCAAATCTCTGTCGAGACAATAAACTAGACAGCAGAGGTGTGGCACTTGGCAGTCTTGGGTGGTTTTGACTAGGGTATCTGAGAAACAAATAGCTTTTAAAACCATCTCCTGTTGACGTGTTCTAATCCTGTGCCTGGAAATGTCTTTCATTAGATTATATTGCTGTGGGTCTACAGTAAGGTTAGGAAAGTCAGTCCACATTTTCATCTTTCTAAGCTTGCTGCCAATGTGAACAATATGATACTTTTCAATTCTAAATATAGTAGACCTGGAACATTGTAAAATGTAGTCGTGTGCTTCCGGAGTCCTACAGGACAATCTTTATATTCTTAAAGCTCACATTTTAAGTCAATAATTTCTCCAGATATCATACTTGCATGAGTGAATATTTTATTATAAACAACATGACACAAAGTGAACATTCATTTGAATGATATATTTAAAGATATTTTCCTGGCCAATATGTAATCAAATGTAGTAGTTCAGGTGGGTAGCTGCATCAGCATGCGTAGGTTGCAAAGGAACAAGTAATAGGTTTGTTCCATGCTGAAAAGAGAAGAAAGAAAACACAACGTTTCGGCCGTGGAGCCTCACCTGAAGAAGGCTACACGGCCGAAACGTGTTTTCTTTCTTCTCTTTTCAGCATGGAATAAACCTATATATAATACAATGCACATTTAAACCACTACATTACAATGGTCCAATGTAGACCAGAATTATTTTGCTAGTGTTTATCACTTATCTTAATAGACACCCTGGGAGACGTTAGCAGTGTAAGCACAAATAAACAATGTATAAAACACAAAAATAAGGACTATGAAAGTAATGGCACTGGTATTCAAAAAATGGAACTGTAAGAAAACATCATCCACATACAGCTAGCATGGATACAAAACAATTATGTAAACTTTACATGTGTTCCATGTTTAAAGTGCAAATTGCATTGTGGAATGTATTATAAGTTACCTAGGGATGTAGTTTAGAGCTGATAGGTAACAAGTGTGATCTAAACAGATCAGCCTTCAGGAGGAGTGGAAAGATGGACAGAGACCAAGGTGTTCTGATTTCTTCATTCCACCACCAGGAGCAAGAGGTTCAGCAAGTGGGGGAAGGGAGGGGCTGGCAAGAGAGGGTGTATGGAGAGAGAAGCTGGAGAAGAGTAGTTGAGATAGCAGTAGGGGAGAAGTAGGGTTTTGAATTGGATACATACAGCAATAATGAGAAAAGAGGAAGAGAAAAGATCAGAAGCAACAGGGGCATGCCAGAGACTACATTTGTTGGATTTAGGAGGCAGCTCTTTGTAGAGCAGGAGGATCAGAAATAAAGAGGTCCACAATGGGAGAAGAGGAAGAAGGAAAAAGACATGAGACTTAGCCTGAGTTTTATGCTGATGAGAATGTAACCAGGTGGCAATGGCTGAGATCCAAATAATGAATTTGTGAAACAGCCAAGATATAAAAGGAGATTTGAGCATAATCAGCACAAAAAATGATATGAAAAGCCACAGGAAGACATAAAAGCACTAGAGGTGCAGGTTCACAGAGGAATAGTATTTTCTAATGAACAAAGGTGACAAAAAATCGATATGAGACAGACACTGGTCTTGCATCAATGAAAATCGGTGGCCTGACTTATTCAAAACAACTTTGAAAATCTTGAGGACTGGTGCACTGAATTGAAAATTGGCAAATTTCATCAACATCCACACAGATTCATGTCTTATTTATGGTAACATCTGTCATGTAGAGCCATACCTGCCACATAACTTTACTTAGTGCATCACTTTACATAGTAGTGAATAGGTCATTCTTATGCATCTTTTCTGTGCTACTAATATATAATCAAAGTTATTCTCATTGCTTTACTACAGTATTCCATAACAATGGAATTTACACATTCTAATTACTTTTGGAATTGGATATTAGTGCTGGTGCTTTATTGGTGATATAGGGTTGTATTGAGTCATTTCAGACATGATTTTAATTTTAAAAAGACTTTCAGACCTGCTATTCGAAAACAAAAAAGATTGCAATGAAAGAGCCTTCCCATGGCTAGACATGATTTTCATTTCTTTAACAGTCTGATCAGCTTCTGAAAAGGCGAGCAGCACAGCAGGCACATAATTAGTGACTAATTAACTGGGCACTGCAAGGGAATGGTACCGATGATCACTGGAAAAACCACTTTAAGGGCAGTAGCACAGGGAATATCCACAATCACCTGGAAAATAAAAATACAAAATTAGCAGTGGTCCTGCCTACTAATCATGTTGTTTTACAATCAGGTGTAGTAAACAGCATGTTGTCTTTGAACAACTTGGTATTTTATGTTTAAAGTCAAAGAAAAAAATTAAGTCCATTTTCATAGTTTGTCACAGATAAATATTGTTTAAAAGACCTTAGGTTGCTACCATTGTCCATTTTCAACTCGGGTCTTTAAACAAATTCTGATTTTTGGAACTTCCTTCTGATGTTAGACAAGCCTGCACAACAAAGTGCACTAAGTATTAAAAACATTTGCAAAATATTTTTAAAGCTGCAAATGAGTTGTAGTAATTCAATAGCAGATCCTTAAGAAGACTGCAGATACACACCAGTACTGAGTACTCCACTTTCATTATCTTGCAGTTCAGAACTGACATCGTTGTGTCGAGAGGGATGTCCAGCAGTCGCCCACACCACGTTTCTCTTTCACCAGCACTGATAGGCTTTCCTTTCGCACAAGCAATTTCGGTGGTGACTGTCTGTGTTTTCATAGTAGCATAGAAGGTCTGTATTTGCTGAAGGGCTGCCTTTGGCTTCACCTCCCGCGACGAGTGGTTTTCAATTTCCGCAAAGATGCTAACTGAATCTCCTGCCAGCAACAACAAACAAAAATTTATCCGTTTTATGTTATCTATTAATTTCATCAGTATAATAAAGAGGGAAAGCCAACCCTTTGTGAAACACTGGTCTTATCATTAGAATTTAGATGTTACGTACATTAGGACACACCTGAGATCTATTAGCATTGTTAGTCTAGTTGATTACAAAGGAATTACAGCTAAATTATAACAGCAGGTTCAGAACGCTATAGAGTGCATAGTTCAATCGCAAATCAGCTGTAAAGGCAATTTGGTGAGCACGGCAACTGTACAGTGCCTTGCGAAAGTATTCGGCCCCCTTGAACTTTTCAACCTTTTGCCACATTTCAGGCTTCAAACATAAAGATATAAATTTTTTATTTTAT